GCCCCGAGGCGGGCGAGGCCGGGGGAAGAGCGGCGGCGATGTGGGGGAGCCCCCCCTTACCTTCCGCGGGCGCCGGGGCACGCCGGCCACGGTGCCGGGCCCCCCCGGGCCACGCAGCAGCACCGAGACGGAGCCAGCGGTGGGCTCGGCGGGAGAGGGGCCTGTCCCGGGGTGGGGAGAGGCGCCGGGAGCTGTCATTTGGCTCGCAGGCCGCCGCTTGCTCTCCTCCTGCCACCCCGGCGTGCGTCCCATTCCGCCGATCGGCCCCAAACCAGGGGCTGTTTTTATTTACCCCTTTCCCTGCCTGCCCCGGGGTAAACCCGGGTGGGGTAAAGCCGCTGCCTGTCCCGCGATGGCGGCGAGGTGTCTTGGCGTGAGGGCCGGGGCCTGGCTGGGACGCGGCGGCCTGCTGCTGTGCTTTGCTGTGCAGTGCCGAGGAGCCGCCGTGAGGCAGCCAGGCGGGAAGGCCATTTTACCTGCGCGGGTTATTACTGTTTCTGCGGGAGAGTAGCGGGGCAAGGAAGATGGAGGGCGGGAGATTGGAGAGAACAAGCCGGAGACGGCAGTTTTGTTTTACTGCTGCTCTGGTGCAGGAAGGAGTGCCCCAGTCATGGGTGTGATCTCGGCTACACTTTGTGCTGCTCGGATTCAAGCCCTTGTTGGGCTTCCCAGGAGCCTTCGTGGCGAAGGAGGTGGAGAGGAGGAGCCTGATGTTGGAGACGTCGCACTGAGAGGCTTTGGTGACAGACTGCCTGTCAAGGAGTGAAAGAAAGAGATTATCCGACAAAAGAAAACAGCAGGGTTGGCTGCCTTGGTAGGGAAGAGACGGGGCGGTTCAGAGGAGAAAGACTAAAAAAATTGTAGTCCTGGCCTTTTCAAATATCAGCTAGTGGGATACTGCAAAGGTAGTTACTGACATAAAATTAAACTGATTGTAGTAGGAGTTGGGAAAAAAGTAGAGTTTGGGAGTTCACCTGAGCTGGGATGGGAACTAACGCCTTAAGTGGCCAGATAGGAGCAGTACCTGATTTAAGTGCAAGGAAGGGAATAAGGACAGAGTCCTGAGGGATGCCGGTGAAGCAGGGAGGAGCAGTTGAAAGAGCAGTCGTTGAGTTGGGAGGGGAACCAGATTAACGGTGAAAGATCTGACAAGAAGCAGTGATCGAGGGCATCCCAAAGCAATGGGCAATTCTGGAACTGCACGAAGGTGAAAGGGGCCCATAAATGACTCCCTGGTCGAGCCTAGTAGCCAGTAGTTTCAGCAAAGGGTCAGAAACTAGGCTGCAGCAGATCAAGCACAATTAAGGGCAGCGGGAGGGGAATATGGGGGTGGAGAAAGCGCAACTTCGTATCACAGTCAGCTTGGAAACAGAAAAAGCGGAAACCTAACTCATGTAAGAAACAAGGGCAAAAGTGGTTCCCCTCTGGGTCTAGGATGCTACTAAGCTGCAGGACTAGCCTTCTTTACCAAGAGGAACAGTATGGCATAGGTGTCAGCTGCTGAGACTGGAGCATTAATGCCCTTTATTCCCAGCTCTGTGTAGTGCTGCTGCTGTTACCACTGTGAGGAACGTAAGAGCTCTGCAGAGCACGTACCCTCAAGTAACAGCACTTCCCACGTTGCTGGTATGCCAGTGATCTGTTTCTGGTTAAGGTGTTTAGAAAATTCATACGTGGTAGGTAAGAGTTTGAAAAGGAAAGAAAGAGTAAAGAAATCCCCTGGGCTCTCTATACATGAGTGTAACATGAGAATACAAATACATTTGTTTTCAGAAAAGATGACCAGGTGGAATGAGATATTAGATTGGTGGGGGGAGTTTGCATGGGAAGGGTTTTTTTGTTTGGTGGTGGTTTTTTTGGCTTTAATGATATACAATTAAAATCTAATCCAGAGAGTACAACATTATTCTCCTCCACATGGCCTTTCTTTTACTTAAAAGCAGATCTTCCCTACAGGCAAGACTGGAGAGGGAGTCTCATTATTTCGAGGTCGGCTAATTTGTCAGTGTCATTGGACATGTTTTTGTGGGGTTTGTGCTAGTAAAGTGCTGATGTAGAGGACTAAGCAGCTGAAGGGATATAGAAAGTGTGGAAAAATACATTCCTGTCTCATCCTTCAGTGGGATTTGCTGGGTTTTCTGGAGAGGTGGTATGCCATGCTGCACAATGGCTCTGCAGAGCTGCCTGCCGTTTCCCTCTTTGGAAGGAGGAGCTGGCACAGGGGTGCTGTAGTGCTACCTGTAACGTCCTCTTTAAGGGAGGAAGATAAACAGGTGAAAATGCTAAAGAACAAGTCGCTTGATTCTAATGTTGAGGAGCTTGGAAGGGGAGATTATCCTTAAGATAGTGTGCATATCTCCCTGTCTTTTTCTTTAGTCTTTCTGCTTAAGTCTTGCTTGCTGGCCTCCACAAACTGCTGTCGGTCCAAAAAGCTAAGGCATGATTTCACATGCTTTTTTCAGAGGTAATACCGACTTCAGCAGGCTGAGGCCACTTGTTCCTGCCTCCATTCGGCCCTCTCAACTGTGTCAGTAGAGCTGTTTGTGCAGCCAGAGAACTGGCTCAGGGAAGTGTTGGGTTGAAAGTAGCTTGATCTCCTCTTGGAGGTTATTTTTAACATCCATTTTTTATCGGTCTGAGCTTTTCATATGCAGAAGGGGTGCAAACAAACGGCAGGTGTTAAAGACAGAACTGCTCAAACTAGAACCTCTGGAGAAGGAAATAATATGTCCCTGCTTCTCTATGAACATTTTGAGGTCCGTGCAGCTCCTTCTGTTACCATCCAATACCCAGAGCCATCACAGGGGGACCCTGGGGATTGATTGGAGGCCGGGGGGCATCGGGTGGGAAGAGGGGGCATTCCCTTTGCAGACATAAAGATGATTCTAGGGTTCACTTGTGCATTTGTAGGCTGAAAAGCTGTTCTTAACTGTAGTATACAGAAAAAATTATCACCATAGAACTCCAGATTAATGGCTCTAGTGCATTAGTAAAGCTAATCAGTGACCTCAATACATGTGAGACTTCACAAGGTTTTAGAGATTGCCAGTGCTCCTGTAATTAAGGAGCAGCAATTGTGTAACTGCTTGGGATCTGCCCGGTAAATGCCACATTTGCATCCCTGCTGCTCCCGGTGGCATGTAGAGTTGTGAGTCCCACATAGGCTGGGTCTGCA